TGACAAAGTTATTTTAGGTTGCAAGGCTGTCATCGATGTAAGAAAATATTAGAGTTCCTTTGGTTCTGCATGCAGCCATAACTTCGTGCACGATCATAGTGAAAATTCAGCATGCCGACGAAATACCAAAGCACAAAGTGTTGAACTGATAGGTTTTACATCCCCATCCGAAAGCTGAAAAATGTTTGGATGATTCGTGCACGGGAACATGGTAGTAGCCGTTCTTAATATTAAAAGTTACTGCAAAATCGTCCAACAGTCCTCCATCCATTACTGCAGCTACATCATCAATAGTTTCATCTGGAAATCTTATGAAAAGATTGACGTAGCGTAATCAATAATAAAACGTAGCTTGTTTAAGCTCTCAATAACAAAGACGGGATTGCAAACCTTAGGTGAGCTTGTCTCGGAGATCACTCCTTACCTCAGAAGCATTTCCACATTGGTGGTTATGAAGTCTGCAAATTTGGAAGGAAGTTGATAATTCGGAATGATCAAAGAGGGTGGTTCAAGTTCCTTAAAGATTTTTTTAAATTGTGATGAATTCAAAACTGGTTTGACCATCCTACATACCTCTTCTATTTTTGACTTATCCTGGTGTTTGGTGCCCTTGAAGTTCAGTTGCCCACCCTCTTCTAGCCAAGTGAGAACACTTCTAGAATACTTCCTTTTTTATGATTCTAGCAAGAATTTTCAAGCGTCAATGTTAACGGAAGTAGAAGCCGCCCTTAATGACTTTGGTCTGATAGCCAGGTAACTCGGTTTTCCAATCTATTGAAGGCATAGGAAATCTGAGCCGCTGAGGGCTAGATATTCAGGGCTTGGATTGCTTGGGGGATATCGACCTCCTGCTCCATTCTTTGTTTTCGTGGGAGGACGCACTCTGCCTGTTGTGGTAATAATCACTGGTCCTTGAAGGGCTGCGCTGCCTTGAATATCTGGCTGAGTCGGACAATCCGCACCTGCAAAGAAACGAACAATTAAATTTTACCTACGAGACTTCTTCGATCAGCCAATGTTTCTTAAGGAGGACCACCACGTAAATTGTGTAGGCACTTCAGTGAAGGTCCTTGAAGGTCCTCGTATATAATAGGTAGATAGAGGTTATTCCTTAACTTTCTCTCCTCACTGTTTTCTTATATTAATATCTTTTTTTTTTTTTTTTTTTTTTTTTTTACCACTTACCCTCTGATTGCTTCCTTGTTCTCTTGGTCATCCCATTCTTTGTTGATCTTCTGCAATGCCAAGACTGAAGTCTCCAGCTCCATCGACTTCCAAGCGTTCTTCATTTCTTCTGCACACTTATGGTCACAAAGTTCTTCTGCCAGGCTGGCTAATGCATTCCTGACGACACTCGTTGCAGGCTTGCGTCTTTCATAGTGTCTGTAGTTTAGTTCAATTTGTTTAACTCTTATCAAGACTGTTATATGTCTGCGCCATGGAGGTTGGTCAAAGATAAACCTAAGCGCATCTACTTCCTCCTTAGCAGCCTCACTTTTCTTGAAAAGTGACACGTTGACTCTACTAAAAATATCCCTAACGTTAGATAGGTCTGCCTGATGGAGTTGGAATCTGAGGTGGAGTAACTTTCATCTCTTCCCTTGACACCACAAATCCTCTGTTTGAGAGTAAAGGTTCTAAGAGCTCCCCCTATGTTGCCCCTATCTAGACTTTGCGTTGGTGATCTGTTGGCTCTAGCCTCCAAGGCTACGGGTTGTGCTTGCTTAAGAGGTAAGGCTACTCTCAGAAGATGGAGGTTGATTGGATATATAAAGTCGTTGTTGACCAAAATGTTGTTTAGATTGTGAAAATTTTGCTCCAGAGGGTTGGTACAGTCATGAACATAGCCTCTAACCAGTCTCTAGTTGAAAAAAACAAAGGCATAAACAGTTCTCTTTGGACTAGAGTTATTACTCCTCCGACACGCACAACCTTCCAGATGGCTGGATCCATGCTGGCTCCTACAAATGACAGTATGCACAATCAACCAGTTTGTTTTAACTTTTAAGGTTTTTTTTTTTTTTTTTTTTTTTTTTTTTTTTTTTTTTCTATCCAAAGATCAATAAGTACTTTCATTTTTACTGTCACTTAATAACCTATGATTGGTCAGTGGCCTGACTGTTGGGTAAATGTCTTCCTAGGTACATCAATCAGAGATTTCCACCCTATCCTTCCCTCCCTCCCCACTTTTTTTTTGTTGCCAACTTTTGTCTTCTACTCAGGTCCTTTCTAATTTTTTAACCAACGACCTAGTTCACATCATCATACACCTCTTATTTCGTATATAAGTGATTTTAATCTGAGTAATGTAAAGCTGCATAAATCGTCAAAACAGAGTTATGTGTAAACTTAGGCAAGGAGGGGAAAGAGATGTCGAAACGAGGGTTAAACTCTTCAATAAACATGTCCTGATTCCCTTTGGTATAAGGTTATATAATTTGTCAGAACAGAACAGCCTGCTTGACCATAGGCGAAGAAAGGGAAAAGGTTGAAAAGCGAGGGGTTACAACAAAATAATTCCGTCGAAGTTCAATTGACCCATCTGGGGTTTATTCTGCTCTTCCCTTTCTCCTCATTCCTTTTTTTTTTTTTTTTCACAGGTCTCCTAATACTATGTGTTCTATTGATTCCTTAGCCCTAAACGTATTGAATAGTCCATGTGAGGGTCTGTTTATGAAAATTTCTTTCTCCCCCTTTTATTATTTAAGTCATTCTTATTATTTAATAAGTTTCCCCCTCTCCTTTCTTTGGTTACTTGATGTCCGTGAGTGGAATAGACTGGCCATATCTCACCTGCTCCTTGCCTTTTTTTTTTTTTTTTTTTTTTAACAAAATGATTTCATTAGCTTCAGATTGATTAATCCTTAAATATGACTCCAAGCAGGACAAGGCTTCTTTAAATCTAGGCTACCAGTTGTTCGATGGCAGGATGTCCTGGCCGGACAGTCAGGGGGGTCCCGGATGTCCGGTACCGGACAACTCCGTTTTTACCAATTAAAAGCACAAAAAAACTAAAAAAAAAAAGAAATTTTATATTATTTTATTTTTTATTTTGAAATTGGCAGAGAATTTCGATATGATTCCAAGAAAAAAGTTGTTAAGTTTATTTTTCTTTATAACATAAGTTTTTTTAAGATTTTTCTAAGGATTTTTTTTTTTTTTTTTTTTTTTTTTTGGGGGGGGGGGGCTCGGACAGACTGCCCGGGGAGGACGTCCGCCCAGTTGTCCGATCGGACAACCCCGGACGGTCAGGGGGGTCTCGGACGTCCGATCAGGTAACCTAGCCTTAAATATAATTTTTTTCTTGAACTAACACAGATTGCAATATACATGTTCGAGTACAGATCCTCTTTTATTCCACTGTCTTTTTGCCCAATGCCACATCCTAGAATACGACTCCAACTCTTAGTTATGAGGCGTCATTGTGCCAGAGTCTCAGGCTAGTTCACGGAGATCATTGAAATCAAGGGCTATTCAGCCGACTGAAGGTCCTTACTAGTCTATTGTCTTTGGCAAATGCGTGAATTCAGAATGCGATTTCAGTTTTTTTTATCACCGGATTCTCGGTACTAACTTAATGAAAGAAACTGAAATTCTACCAATCGGGTTAGTTACTCATTTATGGGATCCCTCTTACTGCCTCGTTGACTTGATAACTATAATTCAAGGTCTAAGCTTCACTCCTCTCGTTCATTGCGACTAGTACCATAGTACTCGGGACAAAAACTGCAAATGTAAGAGTTATTTGTCAGTCTGTATTCTCCGTTCCAGGTTCCTGCATTTTAGTTAAGTCATAAGTTACCTATAATCTAGGTTGGCATTCTTCTGAATACAACTATGTTAGAGACTCACTACTATTTTTACCAGAAGTAGTTTTTTCTAGCTGTTTTGAGCCATGAAATGAGTCTGCTCCTGGACGGGTTGCTGAGTTCTTCTAGATACCTCAAAGCAAGTCTCATTTAGAGTGAATGCAACTAAGTTCTTCGAGCTCTAAGGTAAGTTGCTTTTGAGCTATAAAGCAAGTATCCTCTACTTGCTTTTCCTCATCCACTTTAAATTATCTTCGCTTGGTCCTGACCCTTCTCCTTCTCGTTTCTTCTCCCACCCCCCTCCTTTTTTTTTCACCTTTTTTTTCCCTCTCCTTCTCCTTTTTTTTTTTTTTTTTTTTTAACCATCCTTTTACTCCTCCTTCCTACTCCTTAGTCTCCTTCTTGTTAGTTGAAAGCTAAGTGGTTAGACTGAGTTGCCCTGAGAAACAGAGCCGAATCAGACTTGCTGATTATTATGTTCATCCAGTCTTTTGGTCCTTGTGTCGCCCAAGTCTCCATTTCTGCAGTCCTAGATCCTTCGTCTGAAAGGCAAGCCAAAACTTCCAGTATTGTGTGAATGATTGCTGAGTGATGTCCTGAAGAAGCTTCAAAATTTGTGAAAAGGGCCCACAAGGATTCGATGTTAGAAGTTTTCATCACTGGGTGTTGCCTCATTCTCTCCTTTACTAGCGGGGAATAAGCCAGCGCGAGGCCCAACGCTAAAAAGGCGGCTTTCCTGAAATCCTTGGTTTCCTCATGGTGCTGGGCATCTCGGCGGCCGCGTTTCAATGAACTAAGGAATTCGAAGCTAATGGATGGATCGAACCCGCTATAGGACCTTGGTCGTTTTCTGTGACAATCGTGCCCAAGAAGGCCGGAGGGATTCACATATGCATCGATTATCGGAAGCTAAACGATATCACGATCAAAGATGTGTACCCCCTTCCCCGGATTGATGAGTTGTTGGATGCGATTGGGAGTGCTCGATTTTTCAGTAAGTTTGATGTTCGACATGGGTTTCATCATCTTCTTGTTCGAGAGGAGGATCGTCCAAAAACGGCATTTGTGTTGTTCGAAGGTACTTGGCAATGGGTTCGATGTCCAATGGGCATCTGCAATGCTCCTGCAACCTTTCAGCGAGCCATGAACATGGTTTTCCAGAACTTTGTGCGGAAAACACGTCTGGCGCAGAGTGTCATCAACTATTGCATGATTGTGTACATGGATGATATTCTGGTGTATTCGAGTTCCTACAAGGGGCATGTGCAGCACATCGAATGGACGCTGCATGCATTGAGGGATGCCGGTTTCAAGGTGGCGCTGGAGAAATGTCAGTTCTTTCTCACCACCATTTCCTTCCTGAGACACGTGGTGACAGACCTGGGACTTAGACCGGACCCGCAAAAAGTCTGTGTCCACGACTATCACGCAAGTTCGCGCCTTTCTGGGCCTGGCCTCGTACTACCGGAGGTTTATCAAGGGCTTCGCGGCTATAGCGGGTCCCGTTACGAATTTGCTGAAAAAGGATGTGATCAAGCGTTTTCGAAACTCAAGGCAGCTCTTATTTCGACTCCGGTCCTTTTAAGGCCATATCCCGCAAAGCCTTTTGTCCTCATCACAGACTGGCAGCCGGAGGCAATCTCAGCGATCTTGGCCCAAGTGGGACCAGGCGGGCTCGAATGCGTGGTGGAATACGCGTCTAAGTCGGTGCCTGCATGCAAACGCAATTACGCCGCCCCGAAAGGAGAATGCGATGCAGCTCTGTGGGGGATCAGTCACTTTCGAGCCTATTTGTATGGGCGGAAGTTCACGCTGGTCACCGACCATGAGCCATTATTAGCCCTGAAGAAATCGAAGGATTACTCCGGCATGATCGGGAGATGGGCAACGGTGCTACAGAGCATGGACTTTGACATTCGTCATCGGAAGCACGAGAGGCACGGGAATGCTGACGGGTTGACACGATTGCACCGACCCGAGAAGGTCCTCAAGAGCGAGGAGGTGATTCCGTGGAACGAGCCGAAGGATGAGAACGGACCGCGATACGGGCAAGTGGAAATTCTGTCGAAGGAGTGAGTGACACGGGGCTTTTCCTCTACCCTCTCTGCACCCCTGCTCTCTCTCTCTCTCTCTCTCTCTCTCTCTCTCTCTCTCTCTCTCTCTCTCTCTCTCTCTCTCTCTCTCTCTCT